AGGCAGGTGCGTGCCTCTGGGGAAAGGACCTCATGAATACAAAAGCCACACCTCTGCTTGGGTTGTTGTCAGGACCAAACCTTGTCGTCGTCACTGCAGAGCAGTTCCTGTGCTCATGGGATGGGACAGGGTCTGTCATTCAACACCAGGGTCAGGGAGGAAAGTGGCCTTGCCAAGTCGATTAAATCACTTAGATCAAAAGAATATTAATATCGTTGTGTTACAGTTGCCTTACAGTCTCTGCATGGTTGGTTCTCGTGAACTGTAAGGAAGGATACAGTCAGGTTGCCTCCCTTATCTTGATGGTTGTCTTGTGCCAGTGAGCATTTCCGTGTCCTTTCGAAAATCCATTATGAAAGGACTTTAGGTGATGTCAACAAAAGCATTACAATAACTCTCATTAAACAAGGAAGAAGATATAAGCACCAAAGAAACAGGAAGGACACACACACACACACACACACACACACACACACACACACACGGTTCTAAAGGTTAAGGACGGTTTCCCCCTGGACTTCCCAGAAGCCAGAACGAAGGAGGAAACATTTCGGGACTGAATTCCTGGTCCTTGGAGAGCAGGACGCAGGCTGGTTCTTTAGGAGAGAGAGAATTTCTCCCCTGGCTCTGTTCCCAAAGACACCCATACGCAGAGCTTTACTGTGGGGTACCGAGGGCCATGGCCCCGCCCAGCCCTGCAGCCTGTTTTCTCCATGGTGCACACATGCGTCTCACGTGACTTCTCACCGCACCCTTGAGCTGACAGTTATGTCAACATGCCCATAAATATGTAGAAAAAGGTCCAAAGGACATGGCACACACACTCCCCGCCTAGCGCCCACAGTGACAGCCTCTGAGGACTAAGCAGGGACACAGGTGGGTGTAGGAGAGAGCCAGTCCACGGAGACTTATTAAAAAGGAAAAGTGGGGCTCTGAGTTTCACTGGCTGATTCTGCCCATGGCCAGCCGGCCCACGTGGAGGCCTTCTTTGGGTCTGGCTTGACCCAAAGGGTGGCAACCGTAGGACCTCGGGCGTGCCAGCCATCTTGCCTCACCTTGTCCCAGCTGTGTGACCTCAGGGAAGGCGGAGCCTCAGTTTTTCATCTATAAGATGGGTCCTCACGCCCACCTTGTTGGGTGGTTTCGAGGACTGCGTGGCACCATGCAGCCCTTTATTTTTCACACTTGGCATCCCCAGAGAAATGACTATTGCTTGTTTCCTGCCCGGGATCCCACCCTGGTGGTCCTCGGGCCAAATCCACCCACAGATATGGCTGGTTTGAACTACAGAGTGTTGGAGACTTGGCAGAGATGGACACCACCAAGCAGATCACAAGCATCCCAGCCCCCACAAGACCCCCAGCACCCCCTGTATTCTCCACCCTAGCCCACCTCTCTCCTGCCTGCCTGGCCCCTGTGGGCATTAGAGGCCACACCCCTGCCCTAACCTGATGCCCTTACTATCTCCCTTTTTGGCCAGACTTCCAGGAGAGAGCTGGGCGGCAGACAGTGAGAGGTCGGCTGGTACTCCAGACTATTCACAGAAGGCAGACAGACACTTTTTTTTTTTTTTTAAGATTTTTATTGGGGAATTGGGGGATGGAAACAGACAAGTTGCTGTCCTTTTGTTCTTCAGTCTAGTTGTGGAGGACGTTGCTTCACTGACCCAAGTTGGCACCATCGTTGCGCTCTTCCCAGGCGGGCAGATCAGTTGCCGGCTTCTGGACGGCCGCTCACAGCGGCTACTGGTCGCTCACGCTGGCTACTGGCTACACACGGTAGCCCATGGCAACCCACTGCAGCAGGGGCTGCAGCCTACTCCATCGCCCGCAACTCACGTCAGCCCAGCTCCAAGTTGAGCTGTTGTTCAGCATCTTAGCTATAGAGGGCAGTGTCACTGGCCCTCACATGTGGGATCCGAACCAGGGCCCTCTGGTGTCCCAAGCCAGCTCTTAACCAGTGCGCCACTCGGCTGGCCTGACAGACACATTTTGGAAGCTAGATGTGCCATTATGAAAGCCAAGATGCCCCCCTTATGGCCATGCTGGACTGGACGGCCTCCCCACCACCCCACAGCCTCTTTAAATGAGACTGTTTCTGTCTCACTAGATGTTTCCATGGCAGTCATTTTGTGGAACTAGTCATTTAGAGCTGCCCATGCTGTCCTTCTCAAATAGCTATTTCCTGATTAATTCACATCACATACCTGCTCAGTGCGTCTGCTAAACAGAGAACACATCCACATAAACATGTAAAACAGGGCTTTGAGAATTGACTTTTCTGACAGGCGGCAAACAGTAGCCTGCCATCCTGCAATTGGACGAAGGACGGCAAGTTTCCAGGCTGTGACACAGGCCTGATGGGTCTCCTAAATTGCCACAGAAACCAAGTCGCGGTGACTTGGTCAACGAGATATTGAGTTGGAGCTTACTCACCTGGCTTTCAGGAAGGCTCAGGGGGGACGTAAGTGTAGAAGGACGGCTCTCGGCTCTCAGACCCCATTTCCCAAGGGCATATCAGGAGCCAAAGCAAGACGGGAAGTGATCTGGGGACAAAACCAACAGGCAGCTATTTTCCTGACCAGGTTGGTTCTCAGAGCATCGTAGAGAGCCGGGAGAAAAACACCTGTGCGTATTCACTTACAATTCCAAAGTAATCTTTGAGGACCTGCGAGGTGCCAGGTGCCTGCTGGGTTCTTGGACGACATTGGACAAGAGCCTCTGCTTGTCTCAGAGCTTAACTTTGTGGGGGGAGACAATAAATGAGTGAAAAAGCCAAGACCGTTTCAGAGACAAGAGGACAATAAAACCGGGTGATGGAGTAGAGAGGAGACTGGACGGGGCAAGGGCTGCTGTAGAGAGAGGCCGGGAAGGTCCCAGGGAAGACAGAAGGGGCCAGCCAACCTTGAGCTATCTGAGGCGGAACATTCCAGGCGACTGTCCAGGTCCTGAGGTGGGAACGAGGTGGCAGGATCGTGGAGCAGAGAGAGGAGGGAGATTATGATGGGGGCCAGGGACCAGAGCACGTGGCTCCCTGGCCACTCAGAGGGGGACGGAATTTATTCTCAGTGTAAAATAAAATCACTGGGTGGTTTTAAGCAGGGGGCTGCTATGATCTGTTATGTTGTTTTTATAGAAATGACTGGATGCCACATAGGAAATGGAGTGTGTGTGTGTGTGTGTGTGTGTGTGTGTGTGTGTTGGGGGTGAGGAGGCGAGTAGGGGTGCAGTGACGGTGCCAAGTGGAGGCAGAGAGACCAGTTAGGAGGTTATGGTGGTGACTCAGGGACAGCGATCACACTGGGACCACAGGAGTAAAATTGTCCCACACAAACGAGGAAGTTCCACCGCTCACTTATTGGTGCCCTTGGCAAGGTGGGTGCCACGGAGATGGAGAGGCAGTGGCCTGGCTACAGCGGGGCCACGAGAGCCGGTCCGAGGACCAGTGGGGACTGTGACCCTCAAAGAGTCTGCCGTAAAGGCAAACAGACAAACAAATGGTGGGGCCCCCCCCCGACGATGATGTGCTCCTCGGCAGGAAAAAGGGATGGAACTCGGAATTCCCGCAGCATGAGCCAGCCGATTATGCCAAAGGAAGGAAACGAGGCCAGAAAAAGGACAGAGGGCACGATTCCTCCGACATGAAAAGTCAGGAAATGCGGAGCCAGGGGCCACCCAGGGGTGTGAGGAAGCTTTGGGGGTGATGGACGAGTCCATTGTCTCGATCGTGGAGATGGTTTTGGTGGCATATGCATGTGGGCATACCCACCAAGTTGCACACTTTAAAAATGTACAATTTACTGTGGGAAGTATGTACTGTATTCCTTGACGAAGCTGTTTTATGTGTTTTTGTGTAAAGAGGAGTAGACAGATAGGGCCATGGCTTTTAAGCTCCAGTGAAGAGTTTTGAATACCTGTGCGGTATCCGGGCTCGTGTGTTGAGGGGAAGGGCACGTGAAGGGAAACTAGCCTGGGACCCTTGTCGCATCAAGCTGAGGGGTCCGGGGTCTATCCCACTGGCCTGAGTTTGGTTGTCCCCGTTCCGTGCGTGGCGGGATCGTCTGGACACCGTGTAACAAGGGCAGCGCCCACACCACATCCCCTGGGCGCCCCTCTGGTTGCAGCCGCACTGAGGTGGCACAGTCCCCGCCAGGCTGACAGGATGACTCCCCCATCGTTGCCAGGCTCCCCGCCTTTCTTCTTGGGCCCTTCTCTCCAAGCCACTGCACCCCCAGGGGCAGCCTTCAGCAGCCGGGGAGGGTCAGTGAATAAATGCCACGACCTCCCCCTCGGGAGGGACACTCCGAGGTCATTCTGTGGGCTCCTCAGAGGGCCCCCGGGGGATGGAGCCCCAGTTGCCCACAGCAGTGGCCAGCTCAAAACCCTTTTTGGGGTGTCCTCCTGCCCCATCTGACACTCCCCACTCCCTCTTGGGAGCACCTTGCCAAATAAGCTCCTTTCACTCAAGTACTTGCCTCAGGCTCTACTTTTCAGAAGGAAGCACAATACCCCTGTAACCAGGGAGTCCGCATTCTATGTGCATATCAAGCTTTTCTGGCAGGAGGCCCAGGAAACATACTAAGGAGAATTCTGCCCACGGTGGAAAAAAAACCTGAGGATTTTACAAGGGGTGGGGTCACTGGGCCAACTCTGCTCTGGGAGGAAATGTACTCGGGTGGCTGCCATGAAGCTGAGGTTGAAGCTGCAAGAGACAGGAAGTAGGGAGACCAATTAGCAGGCGATTACAAATGTCCCGGCAGGAGGGGATGGTGACAGAGCCCATCAGGCCGCCCTTTAGCGAGAGCCTTTGATTTATAGAGCCTGTAAGCCTTCACACAGAAACGACGGGGCTTCATTTAACATCCCCAGCACTGTGGTTTCATAAAGCTCACGTTCTTGGCATTCCACCTGTCTCTCTTTTATCTTCTGCTTTGAAAATTTTAATAAGGTACATCAGTCTGATGCTGTGCATTTTCATTTTGTTAAATTTTGTGTTTCCAGGGTCTTGACATTGGTGCCAAGCACGTGAAGGTTTATGTCAACGAAAACCTCATCTTTGATGGCCAGTTGGACCAAGGAGGTGGGAAGGCCCCAGCTGACCAGAGCATCCTGGTTGGCCCGAAAAACGAGAACGAGAGAACGGAGGACACCGTGAATGCCCACTGGGAGGGAAGCAAAGATGGCCGCACGATGGCCAGCACAGATGGGGACAAGGAGCTCAGTGTCACTGACGCGCAGCCAGCTGGAGCGGCCGTGGATGTGAAGCCGTCTTCACCAGGAAATTTATTCGGTCAAAGGATGAATTCTCCTGACTGCATCAAAGAGAGTTTGTCCAAACTGGAGGACGATGTCAGCTTGTCAGCAGCCCCGGCCTCCATGGGGGGCGTGCCCGCTGGCCCTCCCGCTGCGGCCCCTGTGGAATGCCCTCTTCTTGACCAGGAGCTCTCGCTGATACAGCAGCTGGAAAACCTCACTGGCAGAAAAGTCTCTGAGCCACCGGGGAAAACGCCATCCTGGTTACAGCCTTCTCCCATAGGGAAAGGCAGGGAGCAGGGAGGCAAGAAGCCAAAACCCCTCTGGCTGAGTCCTGAGAAACCGCTGGACTGGAGAGACAGGCTTCTCCCAGAGGACATCCTTGGTGAGGGACCTGGAGAGATGGAGGCCGGGGAGAAAGGCCCCAGGTGTGAGCAAGGGCGGGCGAGCAGCTGGAATGTCACCTCGGGGGACAGAGCCCAGAGGGTGACCCCCAAAGTCTGCAGTGATGACTTTGACATCTTTAACCAGCCCGCCAACAGGGAGCGTCCTGCTAGTGGGAGGAGGGCCCTGAAGAACACCCCCAGCAGCGCTCATGGCGACAACCAGCCAGCCGGCAGAGGTAAGCGCGAGGGGCCATCTGACCTGGTCTTGTCACCTCTGTGGGAGGCCACTGACTGACACCAAGGCATTTGCTCCCTGTGCCTCAGTTTCCTCCCCTGCAAAGCGAGGGGTTTCTTCTCAGCCAGGGGTCACAAATTGACTGTCTCAGGCACCACATAGGTGGCAGCAGAAGTGAAATGGGCAAGACACATGTTGCATGTTAAACTCACAAACATAGTTGTCATGGCCACCAAGATACGTCCCTTTGCTCATTTTTTTCTTGCAATGCATTGCTTTTCCAGTCTCGATATTATTAGTCCAACTCTGAGAGAGACATCGGTCTTGAATGACTTCACTTTATTTTTAACCATACTGTTAGAAAAGTAACACAAGTGTAATGATCCGTGGCAATCGCGACTTGCTTGGGTGCTGGAAGTACTGTAGGGAGTGGTGACGACTGCGGCTCACTGGTGACGATGGTGGCACAGCCCGTCTACAGGGAGCAGCTGCCACTCCACGCAGGCTGCTGTGGGCATTCAGGAAGGCAAAGCCAGGATGCCCAACCCCCCCTTTCCCTCTTATCAAGAGAAGCCAGAAATGTAGACCAATCTCATGCTCTAGCTTTGGTGATGTACTAAAATTATTATTATTTTTTAAAAGATTTTATTGGGGAATTGGGGAAGGGAACAGTGTTGGGAAATTGGGGAAGGGGAACATTGTGTTTTTCCAGGACTCATCAGCTCCAAGTCAAGTTGTTGTCCTTCAATCTTAGTTGTGGAGGGTGCAGCTCAGCTCCAAGTCCAGTTGCTGCTTTCAATCTAGTTGCAGGGGGCACAGCCCACCATCCCATGCAGGAGTCGAACTGGCAACCTTGTTGTTAGGAGCATGCACTCTCAGTAGCTGAGCAGTTTGGCCACCCCTTGGCAGCTCAGCAGTGGCTCAGCTGGAGCGCAGCTCACTGGCCAATGTGGGAATTGAACCAGCGACCCTGTTGCTCAGAGCTCATGCTCTTACCAACTGAGTCACCCACCCAGCACCCTACCAAGATTATTTTTAAACCACTGTGTGCAGTCAAACAAGAAAATACACGTCTGCTGGCAGGACTCAGCTGTTTGGTGAACTTTGCAATAGTTTCTCTCTCAGGGATCTGAAAGGAAGGGGCCCAAAGGCTGGGCTTCTGGATATCTGCCCTCAGATTTGGCTCCTGGGAAGGAGTGTAGCATAGCAACCAGGGGTGAAGCCGTTTGAATCCCAACTCTGCTGCTTGTAAATCTGGGGCTCACAGCACTGGGCACTTCCACTTTCTGAGCCCAGCATCCTTCGTCTATAAAATAGGAATAAACACCCCCCTCCCCCGCCACCCCCTCCTCAGGGTTGGGAGGGGTGAATGCGATGATGGCTTCACACAGTAGTACCCAGAGCCCGGCATGTGGAAAGTGCCCCATAAGTGGTGGCTGTCATTTCAACACTCGTTTATCCGTCCTTTAACATCCAGAAAGTCCTCAGACCTTCCAAGGCAGGGCTTACCCCAAGGGCCTCAGAATGTAACCCCACCCCCCACCCCCACACCACATCATGGGCATGAACCCTGCAGTCAGGCCGCCAGGGCATGCGTCCTGGTGTCTCACCACCAACCCACACCTGGGCAGGTCTGAACCTTCTCTGAGCCTCAGTTTCCTCGTCTGTAAATGATGCCAGTAATGCCATGTCATGGGTGCTGGGAGGATCAGATGAGAACGTATGTATACAGTGCTTTGCAGAGTGCCTGGCACACAAGAGCTCCCAACGGGTGTCAGCTGCTGCCATTATTATTGTTGTTATTATCACCGTTGTCACTGTCCCCACTCGGTGATGCTGCCTCTTGGTGAATGTAGGCCAAACCAGTGTATAGCTGACCCTTGAAAAACATGGGGTTAGGGGCACTGACCCCCTGTGCAGTTGAAAATCCATGTATAACTTCTGACTCCCCCAAAACTTAACTACAAATAGCCTACGGTTGGCTAGAAGCCTCACCGATAACATAAAGAGATTAACCCATATTTTGTATGTTATATGTATTATATACAGTATTCTTACAATAAAGCAAGCCAGAGAAATGAAAATGTTATTAACAAAATCATAAAGGAGAGAGACTACGTTTATAGTACTGCACGTACTTATTGAAAAAAAAAATGACATTTAAGTGGACCTGCCCGGTTCAAACCCGTGTTTTCAAGGGTCAGCTGGAAATATATATTTTTTGAGCGTCATCTCAGCATCCTACTCTATTACTAACTAGTCGGCAGACCCCGAAAGTCTGCATTCCTGCCTAAGTCTACACTCAGAAACGTGGACAGTTTGTGGCCTCTTTCCGACCCCTGCGTTGTCACTTAGTACACTAGAGCAAGTCCCTCAGACTCTGCATGCCTTCCATGGTGACCAGCTGGCTCCCTTCTGCCAGGCGGAGCTGCCCCTGCTGGCTCGCCAGCCTTGCCCACCCTGCCAGGACTTAACCCTGAGACTGGATGCCAGGGAGGAGGGCAGAGGGGAAGGGAAGAACCAAGAAGTCCTTTGAGGGCAGAGACTGTCTTACCTGTGATGGGATCCACAGAGCCAGGTGCCCGGCTCCCAGTGGGTCCTCCAGGTGTGGAGGAATGGTGAGAAGGGAAGAGGTGGCTGGCTGTGGTGGGCATGGGGCAGTAAGCCTGGCTCTCGGCCAGGCACAGTATTCAAATGAGCTTATTTAATCCTCATGCCAGCCCCCCTTTACAGATAAAGAAAACATGAGGTTTAAGTAGCTTTCTGGGTTGCACAGCCAGTAAGGGTTAGAGCAGAATTTGAACCAATGTGATCTTGCCCAGAATCCATGCTTCAAACCACGACCCTACTGGGCCCTGTTTCCACAGCCACCATCAGCTGCCTCCCCTGGGAGAGCCAGGCAGCTCTGAGCTTTCCTGGTAGGCAGACCCAGAGCTGCCGGGAGTTCTGAGGTGATGGGCATTATTCTAATATGTCCAAGTTCAGAAGACTTTGTCTCGCTTTAATTTCTTTCCAGGCATTTCGCTGCTTGGCTCAATGATACATTAAGAATGGAGCTCTCGAGATGTAATGCTCGTTAAGCCAGTCGTGCTAAAAAAGGAGAGTTGCTTTGAAATTTTGAATTCCCTGTTACGTAGAGCCAAATCCCAGCTGGAAAAGTGCCAGCTGAGCCCTCCATCCACGCTGGTAGAATGAATGGCTGCCATGTTCCTTCTGGCCCTGGAATTGTGTTGTCACCCTAAGACAGAGCCTGGAGTTTCTTCTGCCCAACAGAACACCTCATTGTAATGATATCTGAATTTTGGAGTTGTCTTCATCAGGCATCAGCTGGCTGCAGGTGAAGGAAATCTCATTTTGAGGATTAAAGGGGGTGTTATTTGGAGGATGCTTGAGGTGCTCTTGGACCCCTGAAGTCAGGAAGTGTAGCTGCCCATCACATGGATTGCAAGGAGGGACCAGCAAGCTGGCAGCCACCCAGGAAGTCCCTCACTGCCTCTCCAGGGCTGCCGGGTCCTGTCTCTGCTCCTCTGCAGGTTGCAGGGGACTTTCCCTCACTCTTCCTCCCAGGATCAGCTTTCTCTGATCTGTACACACAGCAAGAAATGGCCTCGCAACCCTAGAATGACACCATTTCCCAGCTCTGGCTCCAGGAGCCGATTCCAGAGTCTCAGGGGAGAAGCTGATTGGCCAGCTTGGGTCAGGTGTCCATTCCTTGTTCAAGCATCTCTGACAGACAGAAGGTCCACTGAGAGTAGGTTTACGTACTCTGTTATATCTCCTTAACATATGTATGTTTTCATTTCCTGTTTGAGTAGCAATTAACGTGGACCTCATGGTGATGCCATCGATTTTTATAAACACGTGTAGAACTTTGTAGTTCATATTCCGTTCGGCTGAGGAGTCATTTTGAACCCTCAGGCCCGTCATCTCCTGTTGGTGGCCCCTCCCAGACTGTGTTGACTGCAGACTGAAGCAGCAGCTTTCTGTTGTCTGTTCCCATTTCTGGGCAGAAATGTTGAATAGAGACGGACAAAGCACAGACCCCAGCAGTGCCCTGACTCCCAGGACTAGCGAGTCGCATGGACATGTCCTGCAGACAGAAGGGCACACGGGTCCCCACTGTGCTGTCACATCCCTGAGGTCCAGGACAAAGCCTGCACCTCTCTGCTTTCAAGACCTGGGGTGTACCTACCGGGGAGAAGAGGTCAAAAAGCAGACGGGAATGATGAAAGCGGAGTCCTGCCTTTGTCACACAGAGAAGCTCAGGCCGAGTCCCTGACATGTGACTCCTGGTGCTTGCTGTCTCTTCGGTGCTCTTACAAACCGACCCAGGCCATTCGTTTCAGCCCATGGAAATAAAACCATGGTAAACCAGGGTCATGGCGATCCACATGGGAAGCTCCTTCTGCCGGATGTCAAGCCTGCAGGAAAGGACAGAAGAAACCCCTGGGGTCTCTTTCGATGGCAGATGAGAAGGAGGGGAGAGGACAGGTGCAGGGGAGTTGACAGGTGGACGGGAGTCCCCCGGCCTCCAGGTCTGAACACAGGGCTGGAAAGGTGATGCCAGCCATCTCCCCTTTCACTGAGCTCCTTGCGCCGGGGTCTGTGCCAGGCTTTCCACGGAGGAGGGCAATGAGAAGCCAGCTAACCTGGGGATCTGAGGAAAGAGTGTTCCCAGCAGAGGGCACAGCAAGGACAAGGTCCCTGGCATGTCCACAGACCAGAAAGACCAGTGTGAGTGGAGCAGGGTGACCAGAGAGAAGGGTGGACAGGTCGGCAGGACCAACTCAGGGCCCTAGAGGGTGTGGGAAGGAGTGAGATTTTCTTTGATTTTCCTTGTTCTTAGTGTAGCAGAGACAATGCCCCTTAGAAGGGATGACGACAAGCTACTTTTTTTTTTTTAATATTTTATTGGGGAATTGGGGGAGGGGAACAGACAAGTTGCTGACCTTTTGTTCTTCAGTCTAGTTGTGGAGGATGTTGCTTCACTGGCCCATGTTGATATTATCATTGCGCTCTTCCCAGGTGAGGCAATCGCTCGCCGGCCATTGGATGGCTGCTCACAGTAGCTCCTGGCAGCTCACGTCAGCTGCCAGCCACTCACAGTAGCCTATGGCAGCCCACTGCAGCAGGTACTGCAGCCTACACCGTTGCCAGTGACTCACAGCAGCTCAGCTCCAGGTTGAGCTGTTGTTCACATCTTAGCTGTAGAGGGCAGTGTCACTGGCCCTCATGTGGGATCTGAACTGGGGCCCTGCTGCTGGCGTCCCAAGCCAGCTCTTAACCAACGCGCCACTCGGCCAGCCCCCAACAAGCTACATTTTAGGCACGTGGAATTTGAAGTGAGAGCAGACCTTCCAAGGAGGTGTTGGAAGTAGAAGGTGGTGCCTGGGGGAGAGAAATCGGAACTTGCCACGTAACACCGCGCAGTGCCTGCGTGGAAGCCAGGAGCTGGGCAAGGCAGAGGGATGGCAGTGTTGGGGGGGGGGGACGGACAGGGGACGGACGGGGGACAGGACTGTCACATGCCAGAGCTTTGCCTAGGATGTCAAGACTGGAATGAGGACTGAGGAGAGATTTGCATTGTGAGTCACTTTGAACTTGGAGAAGGTCGTTTCAGTGGAGGGTCTTGGGAACTGTAGGACTTGTGGATGCAAGGGACAGAGAGCCACCAGGGTGTGGTTTCCTGCACAGCTGGACCCAGGGGCTCAGAGGACGCCTGCAGGACTCTCCATGTCTCAGCTCACGTTCCTGTGCCGGCTTCCTGCTCAGGCAGGCTCCCCGACAGGGTGGCAGGAGGGCTGCCTGCAGCTCCATGCCTGCGTCCCCCCAGCCCAGCAGCGCCTGTGTAAGGAGCGCCCCTTTCTCCCCTGGTTCCTTTCACGAGCACAGCTTAGAGGGATGCTGTCAACATTTGCCTAACCAGGAAAGTGGGGGTCCCCGAAGGAAAATCAGGGTGTGGTTCCTAAGGAGAAGGGGAGGTGGAGTCGGGTGGTCAAAACAGGAACTCGACTAAGAGGAAACAGGCTGCAGGGGTGGCGAGAGGATGGCCTTGATGGGGAGCCTCTGCCGGGAAAGGAGGGAGCTCCAGCGTCAGGCCGCTGCCTTGCTCCTTCAGGTCGAGAGATTGATGGGTGTCTGCAGGCAGAGAGAGGGGAAGGTGCCAGTGGGGAAGGGATGATTGAAGATGCTGGAGAAAGGAGATAATTGATGGTGCCGGGCCCCCTAGGAGACAGGCAGAAAATGAAGTGCAGGGCACAGTGTGATATGAAAGGAGCAAAAACAGAATGTCAGTGTCATCAGCTGCTGTTTTTCCAGAGTGACACCCCAAGATGGCAGTTAGCCATGGAGTGGCTGTGAGGACCGGCCACTGCTCCGCGTGCACAGAGCTTTTGTATTCTGCAGGGAGGCAAGCGGGGCCTCAGAGCCACCCCTCGGAGGGCTGGGCCCATCTTCTCCACGTGCCGGGGACACAGCTGCGTCTCTGAGCAGGTTTCGCCACGTGGCAACGTCAGTTCCTTACCTTGTGATATATCTGAGTCATTCGGTTTCTCAGTAGCATATTTTTTTTCTGATTATAAAAATAAACATAGAGGGGACCTAAAAGATAAGGTAACAAAGAAGAAAATAAAATCCCTCCCTACTCACCACCCACAAAGATCATATCAATGCATTGGTGTCTGCCGCCCATACTGGGATAGGCTCCATCTAAAATGGCACAGCTGGCTTTTTTTTTTTTTTTCATTTCACCTTGTTTTCCGAGCCTCCCACCTACTGCTAGGCAGCCTTTGAAACCATTGTGGACGTCATGTGACTGTGACAGCCGTTAAGAGCAGACCCTTGGGTTGCTGACTCTCAGGCCACAAGCAGCAGCATTGTCCCAGGTCACACAAGTGTCTGAAGTGGAGAGTGACTTCTGGCAAAAGTTCTAAGAGAACCAAATAGATCTTCCTTGACTTGCATGGTAGTTGCATTCTTAGACAATTCAGTGTACCTCGAAAAAATGCTTTGCTTTTTGTAAACTAACTAGGTGCCAGACTCAGGGAAGCATAAACACTTTTTTTTTTTTTAGCTGAGCCATCCTGCCACCTGTTGGCAGCTCAGAGGCTGCTCAGCTCGGGGTGGGACTCGAACCGCTGTTGCTCAGAACTCAAACTCTTGAGTGAGCTCTTAACCAACTGAGCCACTCGGCCGGCCCTAACATTTTTTTACCAACCTGAATGTCGCATGAGATCAACCATGCTCTGTGCCTGGGCCATGCCATACAGTGCAGGATGTAACATCTCTGGCCCCACCCATCAAGTGCCAGTGCGGTCATTGAGACAGCCAGAATAACTTCACCAGTTTCTAGCATGTTCCCCTGAGGGCAACTCCACCCAGCTGAGAGCCACTAGATGACACAATCTCTAAGGGCCCCCACTTCCACATGCACCACTAACGGAGCGTCACCCATCCCGTGCCCTTTCTTCCAGATGGTGCCTGGTCCACCAGGACGCCACCATGGCCCCGATGGTGCAGCGAGCAGGAACTCACGCTGCACGAGTCGTGGAGCTCCCTTAGCGCCTTTGACCGCTCGCACCGGGGCCGCATCTCCAACATGGAGTTCCAGGAAGACATCCTGGATGAGTTCCTGCAGCAGCAGCAGAGCAGCCAGCACACTGACCAGCCGCCCGTCTTGAAGGAAGAGAAGCCGGAGCCCACGAAAAGGCAGGATGACGGCGCCGCCGACATGGGCGACGGGAGCGACTTTAAAATCCCCGTCTTGCCTTACGGACAGCACCTGGTCATTGACATCAAGTCAACTTGGGGGGATAGGCATTATGTCGGCCTTAACGGGATAGAAATCTTCAGTTCCAAGGGAGAACCAGTGCGAGTGGCAAACATCCAAGCAGACCCCCCCGACATCAATATTCTCCCAGCCTACGGGAGGGACCCCCGTGTGGTCACCAACCTCATTGACGGGGTGAACAGGACCCAAGACGACATGCACGTCTGGCTGGCCCCCTTCACTCCAGGCGAGCCCCACTCCGTCTCCGTGGACTTCATGCAGCCCTGTCACGTTGCCCTGATCAGAGTCTGGAATTACAACAAATCACGTATCCATTCTTTCCGCGGCGTGAAGGACATTGAGATCCTGCTGGATGCACAATGCATCTTCAAAGGAGAAATCGCCAAGGCCTCGGGAACCCTGACGGGAGGTACGGTATGTCTGTGAGAATGTTCTTGAAGCTCCTCCCTGCTACTTGCTGAGGCTCGGGAAAAACTAAACGCACCGGCTCACCAGAGGCAGCTCGGTCTGTGCTCTTTCACAGACCTGGCCCACTCCTCACATTTTGCCACGTGGGTACGCAAGAGCTGACCTTATGTAAACTCCTTGGCTATGTACCAGCCTGAGCCCAACAAGGGGGGTTCCTCTGTAAGGGACTGATTGAGGGTAGGGCTCTCAGGAGAACCCGTAGGACAGGGAGTGGGGAGCAAGGATGTGGTTTCAGGGAAGCCCAACCTCAGCCTGACCCAGGGGGCTCCTAGAATATAAACTGTAGGATTTTTCCTACTCGAGGCAAATTGGCTGAGCTTTGGAACCCTGCGGGTTCCCCAGGGTGGGGGCATAACTCCACACCCCTCCAGGCAAGCCCCACCCCTGCCCCCAAAGCATCAGCAGGGATCCGGGTGAGGCACCAACTGCAGGCCTCCCCCACACCTTATTTCCTGACCAATCAGTGACTCTCGTTAGATTAGGCTCCTTCATTAGACCTCTGTGGTTCTCATGGTACAGGAATCCCATTTGCCCATGTGAAGAATAACAAGCGTCACTTATACACATCAAGATCGATTATTAGTGGTCTGGGATTTGATAGCACAGAGGTGGATGGGTTTGGGTTCCTGATCTCCAAACCCTTGGAATTGGGGGTGACTTGACTCTTGTCTCCCTGGTAACCCGTTCAGCCCCAGAGCACTTCGGGGACACAATCCTATTCACCACCGACGACGACATTCTCGAGGCCATATTCTGTTCGGACGAGACGTTTGATGTGGATGAGGAGAGTCTTTGCGGGCTGCCGTGTGAAGAGCCGCCGAGGCGGCCCAGCACAGCTGACGGCGAGAGGGACGAGCGGCCCTACACCCAGGCCGGCCTGGGGGCCGAGGACCTGGTAGGACTGGTCGCAGGCGGGGGCGCCCCTGGAGGTGTCTTTTCTGAACTCAGAGCAGAGCAGACAGATGAAGATGGATGGCTCTTAAGCTGCCGGTGCTACTGTTTTGACATTTCCCATCTCTCTCCTTCATTTTTGGTCCTGTGTGTCATATTTCATTCCCTAATGATTCTCATTTTATGTGTTTTTTTTTTCACCAAAGCAAAGCAAGTATTCAAATTTTAATCAAAGCTAGGAGAAATCCGTTCTGTGTCATCTCTGTGATTTAGAGGTGGCCATCTAGGGGGAGGTTTGGCTTTGGGTTGCGTTTTGATCTCTCACAGTTGTGTTTGATGAGCAGACTCAAAATGCGTTCAATAGGCAGCCTTAGAATTAAAGACAACTCCGGCGATTGCTTCTTGCTTACGAATTGTGGTCCAGTCGTGTGTGTGTCCCTCCTGACAACCCCTGGACTAGAGACAATTCGTATCCCCATTTAAGAAACCAAGGCTCAGATGGGTTAAGTGGCTTGCCCAGGGGCACACAGTGGGAAAGTGACAAGGCTAGAACTCGAATGTATGACCCCAAATTCTATGCTTTTCATTAATAAACAATTTTTTTAATGAAAGATGACCTTCAGAGCGAGGCTCAGTCCAAGTCAAAGAGCCACAATGAAGGGGAGGAGACCCCAGGTCTCCAGGATGTTCTCGAGGCCACCAGGAGAAGCAGGGGAGGGGAGGAGAGGGGTCAACTAGAAGCCAAAGGACAGAAGATTCGGCCATAGCAAGGTCATGACACTTGACAAGGTCAGCAACATGGCCTGTCGATTCCTGGTGTTGGCTGGGGGAGGCCCTCCCACTTCGAGGGAAACAGCCTCATCTCCATCCAGCAAGAGCTGCTAGCTCGTGTTGACAACTGTTCTGATGTGTTTCAAATGAAGCCAGATATTTGGATTTTTATGTAAAATCTCCCAATTTAAAAATGTTGGCAATGAATTCAAAATGTTTTCAAACCTTCTGTGGCCACAGAACATGTCTGTTGTCTGGATTTGATCATGGGTCTGTAGTTGGGAGTTGGCCTTGAGGTCTTTTCATTTGCCCTGTGTTTTCCAAATTGCGAAGTCCCTTCTAAGGGACGCTGATAGGACCAGCCCTGTGAGAGGCAGGGAGGGACCACTCTCATCCTAGAGAGGAGGAACCTGAGCTCACAAGGGCCAGTGTCACGTCAGGGTCATACCCCTAGAGAATGGTGGGGCTGCACCCCGCCCCGCTTCTGGATGTCAAGGTCAGTGCATCCAGGGGTTGTCCCAGGAGGCTCAGGCAGAGAAGTCATGTGGGTACCAGGGCAGTGACCTTCCCTGATGGCCTGAGGCTGCCCCTTGTCACAGGTGCTTCCAGCAGACCACCCCCCTCCCCTCCTCCCCACAGCGAGACAGGGGCCTGGAGAGGCTATTCCTAGAGACTGGGCCACGTTCATCAGGTTGTCATTGGGACTGAAACACCACCCCCACCCAAACTCTGAGAACCGGACAAGTGACTTCACTTCATTTTGCATCTCAGCTTTCCTGTCTACAAAGTAGTAGGGGCACTTTTACCCTAACTTAACGGTGCAGAGATGGAACGAGCAAAGTTTGTACACGAGACCAAAGAAGTAGGGTGTGGCAGCCCACTTTGGCTGTCTGTGGACCAAGGGTTGTTTATCCTGGCCACCCGTGGGAATCACCTGGGAGCTTTAAAACTGCACAGGCCTGGGCCTCAGGTTGAGAACCACTCTCTGTGGCTTGAGTTCTTCCTCCACTTCCTTCCTCGCTTCCTTCCTCCCTCCCTCCCTCCCCCCTCCTCTTCCTTCCCTTCCTCCCTTCTTCCCTTTCTACTTCCTTTCTTCCTTCCTTCCTCTAGCTGACATAAACATTTATGGGGGTTCCTCCCTGTTCCAGAAAATCTAACCATCTTCACGGGTAGTGTCAAACTCCTCCCCTACCAGTAAGACCTGGCAAGGACTCAGACACACGAGGGTTTCTGATCCAGTTCACGGAGCTTCCACAAAGACAGAAAACATAAGAAAAGACACAGGGACTTACCTAGGGCGCAGGGTGGGCAGCAGTAGCTGGAAAAATGGACAGCCAGCTGTGTGGGCGTCAGTAACATCACCTCCTTTCTCTCTGCTTCTCCCCTAACCCTGTGCAGGTTCCTGAACCAGAGCTGCCACCCAGCCCCTCCGTCCCCGAAGTCACCACTCCAGAGCCGGGTGTCTACAACGGGATCTGTGAGTACCCGCTCCTGGGGCAGTATCATGGGCACCCTCAGGGGTCGGGGGAAATCATGGTCACTAGGACAGTTGCACAGGTTGTGCACTGCACAAAGACACAGGCCAGGGGGCAAGTGGGGGCTGAAACCAGCAGGAGCAAAGAAAACCTGCATTGTCCCTGCCCCAGGTGGAGCCAGTCTCCTGAGAAGTCAAAAATTCAGATTTCTATGTGTAAGCTCCAGATTTTTAAATGTTGGTGACTAATTTTATAATATTTTTAAACACCCCTTGAGCCAAACTAAACACATGCAGTGTATTCGGCCAGCTGGCTGTCAGCTGGTGGCCTCTGAGTAAATCCCATCCAGGTTTCACCGTGTCTGTTCTTCTCCGGCCTTTTCCCGTTTGACCTTCCAGCCCGGCCCTCCCTTCCTCCACGCGCATGTGTGCAGGCCTGCCCCTCTGCCTGCATCCTCAGGTCGCAGCTGGCTGTGACCCGCTCCCTCCTGCTCCCAGTTAACAAGGCTCTGTGCTCACCTACTCCTTGTAACCTCACCTCCGGCTCTTTCTTGCCCCTGTGTGTGCCATCTTCTAAGGCCAAGAGATGTTCTGTGCCATTGTCACACACCTCTCCCCACCTCCCACCATCATCTCCAGAAATACCGGACATCTCTGTTCAGCCTTGTCCGTGCTACCCTCCACCTTGTACCCTCTCCTGAGCCCCCTGCAGGCCTCTGCCAGCCACGCCTCAGCTCGTGTTTCCTCCCTTTCCATCCTGCCTGTCCTGGTTGGGTTCCCAGGGAGCAGACCCCGAGGTGGATTTACTGGGGCATGCCCTTGGGGGTGGACAGGAAGCAGGACCGGGCAGGGGGACAAGTTGGACCACAGGAGGCCTCTGACGGCTCCACGGGTAGCACCAGGGCTGAGATGGCCCCTGGAGTCGTCCTGGTTGAGTGAGGGGGTGGGGCCTTTCTATGCCTGTATCTACCTGTCACTGGACCTGGGCTGGCCCTGGGGACGAGCATGGCCAAGGGCAGTTATATCTCGTGCTGTACAGACATCGACTGCAGCAGGCAGTCACAGGTGGGGGGAATGCAGCTGTGAGCTGTCAGCAGTCAGCATGCCCGTCACTGGAGAAAGGGGTCCCTCAGTCCTTTGCAGCCCCCCACAGCGCCCTCCATACCCTCTTCTCAGGGCCCCAGTGCAGCCCCAGCTCCTGCTCTTGTGCCCAGGAACAAGCCGTCTCTCCCACACTCACTCCACAGGGACCAATTGCCTCTGAGCGAAGAGGGATCTGCCTTATTTGGAATCCTGGCAGCCCTAACATCCTAGAACATTCACTCAGATACTTTGGGGCAGCCGAATAACGTAAAAAGCCAGCCTCGCGTAGGCAAGAGCCTGGTTGGAGGCTTGGCTTCACCCCCTGCTCAGGCATAGGGCTGGGGCTTCCCCTGCCTTATCTTCGTAAACACTCCTGGTTCTTACTCCTTCCATTTTCGGAGGCTGGGAGAGGGTGAGTGAGCCACCTGGGGTCCCACAGCTGGTACCAGGCATGTCTGAACTCATAGCCTGCCCTCCCCCTCGGCTCGCTGACAGGCTGCATCATGGCAGAGGTGAGATGTCAGCATCCCCCACAGAACCGTGAGGTCCTGGAGGACAGCGAGCATGTCTTGTCGTCTGCTGTCCCCCACGGTGGTCAGGATTTCTCCTCTTCCTCCTCCTGTGACGATAGAAATTGAATTCAAACTAAGTTAAGCAATAAAAGCCATTTATTTGCTTATGCAACTAAAAAGGTCGGGGTTTCCAGCTTCCCGTACGGCTGGATCAGGTGTGCACGTGACGTCACCCAGCCCTGGCGCCTCCCTCCATCTCCCTGCCCCGTTTTGCTCTCTTTTGCCCGCCTTCACTCAGACTCTGTCTGGATGCTCTGGGCTCACAGCCACCTTCTGCCCGGCAATCCCAACTGAAAGAGAACGTCTGATTCCCAACAAGTCCAGCAGTCGTCCCAGAATTTTGGCCCCGGGCCTGGCTTATATCCCGTGCCCAAACATCCTGAAACCAGTCACGGTCGCTCACCAGGGCGAAGGGGCAGGAGGTGCAAGATGGAGAACACAGGCTGGCGCAGCGGGGCTAACGGCTCACTGCTGGAGCCAGGGGGTCAGGGTCAGTCCCCCAGACAGTCTCCGCAGGACGGAGGAGCGTGGCTGGCTGGCGGGGAACAGCTGCTGTCCCCTCCATCGGATGATTTCCCCAAAGATGCCATCTGCAAATGTCTTGCCCAGAGAGCCAGCTTCTGACCTTTCTCAGAAATGGGATTTCAATGCCTTTGGGAGCTCTGCCTTGGAGTAGAGCTCAGACACCTTTTCGCTACTTGGAAAGTGTAATTTCTCCGCTTTCTACTCGGTAGCAAGGCAGGAGAACCTCTTAACCAAGCGCCCTCTCCACGTTCTAAGGTCTGCGATTGCTGGATCTCTCTGCTCTGAGCCTCTGGCTTTTTCCTCACTGTATCCAAAAATCCTAACCCCCCAGCCTCAACCAGCCTGTGCAAGTAGGGAGACGTTTGAGGAAGCGGCCTGGGGGATGCATCGGGCTTGGCAAATACGACCAATCCCGGGAATGTTTTGGAAGGGGATATATGACTTGCTAATTTGCAGATGACACACATTTTGGACGTTTTGCAAATAACAGCAGTGATGAACAGGCAAGGAGCTGAGAGAGCTGAAGCATGGATGAGGAATAACAAAATTAACTTCCATGTGTATAAATACTAATTGACACACCCGAGGAAAATGAATATGAAACATGGATATTAGCTCCACCGGGCGAGCAGCCGCTTTCGGAGCAGCCCCACATTAGATGGCCTCGCAGAGCGTCCTACCAGGCGAACCAAGGAACATGTGGAAAGCCTGAGACGCTGTGTCTTGTTTTCACGAGGGGAGCTGGCATTTTTCCTGACACTGATCCCTCGTCCCCATCTTCTTCTTCCTTCATCTCAAGGCCATCTCCCTCTCAGGAGCGTTGGCCTGTCGGTTGGGTCAAAGAATGTATCCTCTTTTCCTCCTTCCATTCAGGCCATTGGGAATCCTCCCAGTGCCGTCTCCAGAACAGACCCTGACTCTGCCCGCTTCTCCCCTGTTTTTACCCCTTACCACCCTCATCCAGGCCGTGGGGATCGCAACAGCCTCCGCCCTGGTCTCCCGAGAGAGTCCGACCCCAGTCGGATCACGTCACTCCCCGGCTTCAAAATCTAAGCCTCCCAGAGCTCCTTCCCATGGCGGAGAAGACAATGCAGACGCAGTCGAGCCCTTGCTTAACATCCTGGCCTTGTTTTCCCCACCCTCCCTGTGAGTCATTGGACACTAACCCCAGGCCACGCTTGTGCCCCATCCCAGGGCCTCTGCCCGTGCTGTCCTCTCAGCCGAGAACATTCTTCCAGAAATGCTGACGAATGGCAGCTGCCTTCTCATCACCAGGTCTCAGCTCACGTCACCGCCTCTGAGAAACCCTCCTTGACTAACCCTGCTCCTGCCCAGTCACCCCCTAGCCCGTCACTTACTCTCTTCATGGCTCTCGTCACTGTGGAACCATTGCGTTTATTTGTTTACATAGCTATTGTATGTCTTCACTGCATTGGAACTCCTGGAGAGAGTTTGCTATGTGTTAACCCCTGTATCTCCGGCGCCAGGAACAGGGCTTGGTCCACAGTAGATGCTCCACTAATATTTGTTTTCTATTAATGATGAACTTGGTGAAACTCAATGACTCATTTACCTGTAGGAATCTACTGAAACCTCTTCAATCAGCCATTTATTTAAGAAGAAAAAAAAACTTCATCGACCATCTATTTTTTAGATCCTGTTCTAGGCTCTGGGGACACAACAGAGACAAAGTCCTCGAAGTCCCTGTCCTCAGGGAGCGTCCATCTTAGTGGGGAAACTGACGAAAACAAATAAGCAAGTCCATGTAGACTATATTGTAAGAAGTGCTGTGACGAAACATAAAGCAGGGGAGGGACTTAGGGAGTGATGGGGCGTGGCGCCCTTTGGGCCTGAGTGGTCAGGGAGGGCTTCTCGGAGGAGATGGCATTTGGACACAGGCCCCTGTGGGGAGTGTATCAGTGAGCTTTTGCTGCTGAACAAACCGACCCAGACTTTAGCGGCACAACACAGCCCCCGTTGACTCATCATTGGCTCATCATTCAGTACCTTGGCTGGGCAGTGCTTCTCATCTGAGCTGGCTTGGCTGGCACGTCCTGGGCCTGCTCCTGTGTCTGGTCAGCCAGCAGATGGGCTGGCAGCTGAATGAGCCAGGATGCCTTCATGGCCGGCAGTTGGGAGGCTTTGGCCGGTGTGACGGAGCGACGGGGTCACCTGGCTCCTTCACGTGGCCAGGCTCTGAGTGTGGGGACAGGGACAGGCTGCGGCATACACGTGCTTTGCAGCCTCTGCTCACAGCACCTTGACTTCTGTCCCACAGGCCAATGCAGATCGCATGGCCCCGATTCAAGGAGCGGACACGCAGACTTCCCTCCTGGATGGGAGGAGCTGCACAGCCACAGTGCAAAAGGCAGGGATGGGGCGGGAGGACTCTGTGGCCATTTCTCATGCAATCGGTGCTGTCAGGAGCTGCAATGCTGGCCATGTGTCCTTTTCATCTGCGTCCAAGGTGCTCAGTGACCCTGGCACTACGGTGAGCAGAGGACCTGAGGCTGAGTTACAAAACGGACATTGGAACCGACAGGCTGTAGGGAGAAAGCCAGTCTCCAGGGTGTGGCTTGGCCTCGTGTGGCCTTACAAGGATGTCCAGAGCCCTCCCTGGGCCCCCACTCATTTGAGCTGAAATGGGTGGGACCGCGTGACAGTCAGGCTTTTTTCTTCCAGTGCTGCAGTGCTGGCATCCTGTGAAAGTTGGCCACCAGCATGAAGCTTTGGAACACAGCCCCAAAGGGCACTGAAATAGGCTCCAACCTCCCCAAGGGCGGGAGGGTTCACTGGTCTTGGGCCTGCTCCAACGGGAGACCATTAAGTAAGAGAAGATCCCCCCAAACCTCCAAAAGGCCCTGACCAAAAGGTTCTTTCAGTTTGAGCTTTCTGGGTAGGTGGGTGACTCACCTGGGCCATTTTGCCCAGGACCACAGGAGATCACTTCTTAATGGTCTCAGGAGCGGGGCAAGGCCAGAAAGAGAGTGTCACCACAGGTGACTTCCTGTGGGTAGTGGCCAATGTGCATGAAACGTCCATTTCCAGTGTTGTGGCTCACTGATGGAGCTGCCTCTCTTTAGTTCCTTGGTTAATCATTCTGCCTGCACTGAGCTCCTACTATGTGCCACACACAGTGGGGCTTAGAGGACACAGTGGTCTAGCAAAATAGATGGGGCTTCTGCCCTCGAGGAGTTAACTGTCTGTCATGGCAGATGGATATTTACCAAATGACCACCAGATCGCAGTGGTGACCAGGGCACGGTAGGGGGAGTCCATGGTGACATGGCAGGCTGTGATGGAGGCTTGATGTAGTCAGAGAAGTCAGGAGGGCTTCCCTGAGGAGGTAAGCTGGGATCTGACAGATGAGCACAAGCTAACGAGCCACATGCATTCCAGAGAGAGCGCAGCATGTGCCAAGGGCCTATGATGGGAGAGAGGCCTATATCAGTGAAGCCAGGGACCCCTGGTGCAAGTTAAGGTTAGAGGCGTATAAGCCAGATGGCCAAGGCCTGCTGGCCAGGCAGCCGGGGAAACCACACGAGTGCTGAGCGTCAAGTGGGGCGACGTGACCGACATGTAGAGGGAGGATCCAGGACCGCGTGGAGGTTTAAACAGCCCTGGTCCATTCACCCCGCTGACATTTCCTGACCGTGTCCGTGTCCCCGCCCAAGGGCCCCCGAGAGGCAAGAAAGGATCAGAGCCCCCCGCCCCCGAAGGCGCTTTCATCTGAGTCTGGGGGTCCAAGTTGGCAGAATGTGGAAGCTAACAGTCGTTCCTCTTCTCGTCTCCACCTCTGGCGCCTCCCCTGGAACCTCAGTGTTCACAGGCCCCTTCTCTCCCTGTTGCAGGCCTGCGGCTGAATTTCACGGCCTCCTGGGGCGACCTCCATTACTTGGGACTCACGGGCCTGGAGGTGGTCAGCCGGGACGGCCAGGCACTGCCCATCCGCCCGCACCAGATCTCCGCCTGCCCCAGAGACTTAAATGACCTCCCCGAGTACACGGATGACTCTCGGACCCTGGACAAGTACGTGTCTGTAAGAAGCTTAGCTCTCATGGCAGCATCTTAGGGTTCAGCTTCAAATAGCAACCCCTGCTCCATCTTCTCCCCGTCACCCCGTGAGGTCCGTGCTTGTCCCATTTTATAGTCAAGGGAAACCAAGGTTCAGAAAGGGCAGAGACCCGCCCAGGGCCACACAGCCCAAAGTCGCAAGCAGGGTTCAAAGCCAGGTCCTCCTGCTTCCAGACAGAGCTGTGCTTTGCATTTTCTCCGCTGTGCTTAGCGCAGGACCCCGAGCACAGTGGCTGCTCCGTAAGCCTCTGTGGGGCTGGTTCTCCAGGGCAGAAAGCTTCCCACTCCTTGAGGTTGGAGGTGATCACCGAGGAAGTCTCCGCACTTTCCTCGGCATTCGTCACATTTCATAAGTCCAGGCTGAGTCAGGCCAATAAGAGGACAAGCCTGAAATATAGAATCAATCCATGGGGGCCGTAAACTGCACTTGCCCCTTGCCCCACCCCCACTGCTCAGGCCTGGGCTCTGCCTGGATGTGTGAGCAAGAGGGGTCCAGGGGAGTCAGAGGGATAAGAGTTCAAACCCTGGCTCTGCCCCTTGCCAGCTAGTAAGTGTCTTAACCTCTTCAATAATAATAGTAATGATAATAATAATAACTGAAAGGATAGTTGCCGGTTTTTGAGTAATTATTAAATGCCAGATGCTGGCCTATGCTAAGTAGGTTACAGATAGTCATCCATTTAAACCTTAAACAGCTCTCAGAGGCTCTCATGTTAACTGCAGGACGGAGAGGCTGAAAACTGGCCCAAGGTCACGCAGACGAAGCTGTGCGTGGTGGAGTCCTGATCTGAGTGCAGGTCCCTGGGAGACCAGCAGCCATAGACTTAACCGCTGACTTATGCTGTCTCGGTTTCCTTATCAGTAGAATGGGGACAATAAATCCCATGGCTGGAGGGTGGAAGGGGGAGTCCCACTTGACAGCTGCCCCCTCTTCCTGGTCCAGAGTGTGTGGGGGGGGGTCAGTAGGCGACCCTGCCCTGCTTCTATAAGGTGCCTCTTAACCGTGACCCTCATGTCCTGCTGTCTGTCATTGCCCGCTCAGGGGCCACTCGGTGCTCCACATCTTGGCAACTCACACTCCTGCGTACTTAGACTTGGGGCTCTTGGATCCAGCTCCCCGCTTCACACTCCACTCGTTCATCCACACCCACCCACCCACTTACCACCCCTGTGCCCAGACTATAATGCAGCAAATCCCAGGCCTGATAGCATTTCATCTCTAAATATTTCAGTCTGTATCTCTAAACAATAAGGACTTTAAAAACAAAATCTCAGTACCATTATTATACCTAAACAATGATCATTCCTTAAATTACTAGATGTCCAGCATGTTTCTGTTTCCCTGACAGTGCTTTTTCTTTCTTTTTTTAACAATTTGTTTCTTGCATTGAGACCCAGATAAAATCACTACATTGTGATTGGTTGGTCTGAGATCCAGATAAAATCCCTACATTGGTAATTGGTTGATTTGTGATCCAGATAAGGCCCATACAGTGTGATTGGTTGCTCTGTTTCTTAAGCCTCTTATAATCTCTTGCTTCCTTTCCATCTTTTTTTATTTTTTCTTATAAATTATCTGTTGAAGAAACCAGTTTTTTTTGCCCTAGATTTTACTGGTTAAATCTCCATGGTATTGTTTAACCTGTTCCTCGGACCCCAGTATTTCTTGTAAATTGTTCATTAGATCTAGAGGCCTGATCAGATTGGGGCAAGACGTGACCCTCAGGACATGGATGTCACTGTGCATTCCCTTCAGGACATAATGAATGTATGGTTGTCAGGCTCTCTGTGACATTGGCGGCCAATGCTCATTGGGCAGATCTATTAATTTATTCGGGGTTGCAACTGGCGATACCCCAAGCCTATCAGCCTTTTTTTCATCAGTAAAGAGAAATTTTCCCTCAATTATTTGGTTACTCTGAGGTAGAATTGAAATAGGAAAAGCAATCTAAAATGCTTGATTCCTTCCCTTTATTTTTCAGTTTTCAAACTAACAAATTGTTTCTCTAGTATCCTTTAAAACATTTGGTTGTTTCTGACTATCATAAATCACGGATTTAAAGATCCTGTGTTGGAAGGGTTTCAGTCTGTCGCAGTTTTTATCCTATGGATGCTTGACACTGGGCACTCCTGGATCCTGTTGTAAAATAGGAACCTGACAGCTGCCCTGCTGTCTGACGTGATGAGCTATTCCAGCCTCATCTCGTATATTTTTTTAAATTATTTTATTATATAAGTTTTCAATATATTCATCTTGTATATTTCTGTCCCAGACATGGAACCAGCCATCTCCCCACGAAACTCTAGCTCCTTCTAATGGGGAGTGGTATTTAGAGACCATAGTCTAGCCACTGGGGACGGTCGTTGCTAGTGGGTTGGTCATTGTTTCTAGGCTTTTTTTGTGGACAAAGCTAGGAAGTCACATGCAGATATTCTTTTTTTTTTAAAGATTTTTATTGGGGAATTGGGGGATGGGAACAGCTCTGGGGAATTGGGGGAAGGGGAACAGACAAGTTGCTGTCCTTTTGTTCATCAGTCTAGTTGTGGAGGACGTCGCTTCACTGGCCCAAGTTGGCATCATCATTGCGCTCTTCCCGGGCGAGGCAGATCAGTCGCCGGCTTCTGAACGGCCACTCACGCTGGCTTCTGGCTACACACGGTAGCCCATGGCAACCCACTGCAGCAGGGGCTGCAGCCTACGCCGTTGCCGGTGACTCACGGCAGCCCAGCTCCAGGTTGAGCTGTTGTTCAGCATCTTAGCTGTGGAGGGCAGTGTCACTGGCCCTCATATGTGTGATCCGAACCGGGGCCCTCTGGCGTCCCAAGCCAGCTCTTAACCAACGCGCCACTTGGCCGGCCCCTGCATGCAGATATTCTTGTAGGGGTCTTTCCCTTCACCATCAGCTCTAAACGCTTCAACAGGCCTCTCGACTCTCAGAGGTGGGCAGCAGAAAGATCAAGGCAGCTGCAGTTCCAGGACGGAGAGGTAATTGCATTTGGAAGGAAATAGAAGGTTCTCCGGTGGTAGTCCTCAGTCAGCTTAACTCCACAGACACCCCAGTGCTAAGTGGCTGAATTTCCTCAGTTGTCAGATGCCAGCGATTGTAACACACACCATCCATCAGCTTAATAACAGCCTTTTAGAGAAAAAAAAAGAAACATCATCTCCTTGGATGAACACTTAGATGATAAGATTTGTTCCAAATCTAAAACTTGAAATGTAAAAGGAAAAAAAAAACACTAAAGTTTATTGTAACAATCCAGGAAACATGGCAGAAGCTTGAGTTTCTCCCAGTGGAGCAGCTTCACCAGGAAAATGGGAGGGGAAGGGAGGGCACTGCCCGAGAGACGGAGAGCGAGGCTCCTCCTGTCCTCAAGGCCAGGCCTGGGGCCATAAGCATGAAGGCTGGGTTCTGGGCTGGGCTGACGCGTACTGGGCAGCCCAGGGCAGCCAGTGGCGGGCAGTGCCCCCTTTGGGACAAACATGGGCAGAGAGGAGGAGGAGGTGGCAGGAGAGCCAGAAACTGGCCAGGATGGGAGTGCAGTGTGGGCAAGGGGCCAGGTTCCAAACAGCGGCTGAGAAGCACATGGGGGTGCTGGGGCTCCCTCCTGATGGTGGGGTCTCTCTGAGATGCCCAGGCTGTGTGGTTCCAGGCCGGACCCGCCCCACCATGGCCCCTTCTTGTACTTGTCCCACGCCAGGACCTGCCAAACTCATCCCGATGCTTCAGCGTCTCTCTCCCCCCAAGCGCAAAAGAGAAGGGATAGATGTCTTTCAAAATGTACAATCCAGTCAATACAGCATTTTACAGAAAGTCCAGAAAATAGAGAAAGATATTCCCCTCCCATCCCCACTGACACACTGTACTTTTCCCATCGCATAACCGCTCCTGGTCCTTGTCCTCACTTTACAGAATCAAGGTCGGTGCCCCCGCCGTCCCGTGGCCCACCTCCCGTGTGACTACATCATCCTCACAACT